AGAGAGAAAAGAAGGCATATTTGGAGAGAAAACGAGAGAGACAGCAATAAAGCAAGTAAGACAAAATACTAATAACTGTTCAATCTAGACTAGTCCTCAGCTGGGCGTGATTCTAACCCTAGATGACATTTGGCTCTATGCGAGGACATTTTTCACTGTCACCACCGGGTTGTGGGGTGGGTGCTACTGGCACCTAGTGGGTAGAGTCCAAGGATGCTGCCAAACATCATGCAGAGGACAGAACAGCCCCCCACAGCAAAGAATTACCCCAGCCCCCAAATGTCAACAGTGCTGAGGGTGAGAAATGCTGGTCTAGATCTTCTAAAGTTCATTTTGATGATTCTTTCAAGTTGTTTTGTATTTTAAAATGTTTCACCATAAAAAAAAAAAAAAATTAATGACAACTTATAAAAAATAAGACTACATAAATAGAAAAACCTTCCAGACCAAACAAAATATGTCTGCATGGTTGAGTAACAAGGGCTGGCCATTTGAAGTCCCTCTTCCCAACCATTATTGTTTGAATGAAGGTGCTGCTACAGCTGCTGAATGATCATCTGCACAGTTCTTACAACCTCAAGTGCAAGGGCCTCCCCCCGCCACACACACACACACCCTCCTGGAATTGCTGTCTTTCCCCTGCTTTCAGTTCTCATCAGCCCAGAAGGAAGCAGGCGATATGCCCAGGACTCTGAGCCCGAAAACTGACATCATAGAGGCCTCTTCTGGGAAAAAGCAAGCGCGCTGGTCACCAAGAGCACTTTGTGACGTGGGAGCAGCACCATGCTCTAAGTCTTTTGAAAGGGAGGTGCTTTCAGATGAAATGAGAACTAACCCCTCACCTCAGTGACCCTCACACCCTGAGACAAAACAAATTAAGGAACTCTTTCCAGCGCATTAATTTCACCTGGCAGCCACCTTATAGCCTCTCTGACGCCGAGCTTGCCTTTCCAGCCCCTCCCAAGCATCCATGAGCCCCTATAGACTAATGAGCCCATCGCTATGGCTGAGACTGGAAAGGATTGACTGCATAAGCAGTGTCAGGTGCATTTGGAGGGTATTTGGGACAGCCCCAGCACCACAGAAATATATAAAGGCTACGTAAATGCAGAAGACAAGCAACAGAAAGCAAGAAAGAATCCCCTTGGATCAATTCACCCATACCCCAGCCCTGAAAAATATTCCCAAACCCAAGAACAGTCTTTCTTAAAGTGTACGCCACTTTTCATCAGCCATTCAGGGAGGTTGTTGGGGGACCTATCCAAGACCGCTTGATTCATAATCTCTATTCATAGAACTCAAGAATGTGCATTTTA